TAATGTCTGTATTTTTCTGAGTCTGTTAATCTTGGTTTAGTCTTAGTTTAGTCCTGGTTTGCATATCTTTGTGTTTAGTCCTTGGGTTACTGTCTTGGTTTAGTCTTAGTTTTAGTCCTGGTTTAGTTGTTCTAGTTAGTCCTGGGTTTATTCTTAGTTTTAGTCTTGGGGTTAGTTTTAGTTTAGTCTGGTTTATCTTGGTTAGTTCTTGAGTTTAGCTCCTGGTTGTAGATCTTGGTTTTAGGTCCCTGTGGTCTTGAATCTTGGTTTAGTCTTAGCTTTTGAGTCCTGGTTTAGTTGGTTAGTTTAGTCCTGGTTAGTCTTAGTTTAAGTGCTTCTGCGTTAGTTTTAGTCTTAGTCGGCTGGTTTTATTCTTGCGTTTCGTTTTCCTGCGTTTTATCTTTAGGTTTGAGTTCTCTGGTTGAAGGTCTTGTGTTTAGCTGGGTCTTGGGGGTTTTTCAAGTTCTCAGTGGCTGTTTTTAGCGTTTCGTGGGAGTTTAGTGCCTGGTTAGTCTTGGTATTTATTGGTCCTGGTTTAGTTCTTAGTTGGTTAGTGGCTGTTTATTGTTCTTAGTGTTAGTCCTGGTTTATTTCTTAGTTTATGTCTGGGTATTAGTCGTTGGTGATACGGTCCGTTTCTGGTGCGTTCGGTGTTGTTTTCGTCTGTCCTAATCGTTGGCCTGGTTCGCTTTGTCCTTTTCGTCGTTTGTCTGGTTCGCGTTTGTGTTGCTTGTGCTTTTCGTCTTTAGTTTCTTTGAGATCCTGGTTTTCAGTCTAGTGTAAGTCTGGTTTAGTCTTAGTTTAGTCTGGATTAGTCTTAGTTTAGTCTGGTTTACGTCTAGTTTATTCTGGTTTAGTCTGTATAGTCTTGGTTTAAGTTGTTAGTCCTGGTTAGTCTTAGTTTATGTCGCTGTTTAATCTTGGTTTAGGTCTTATTTCATAGTCCTGTGTTTGAGGTGCCTGGTTTAAAGTCTCTGGTTTGGTCTAATCTTTATGTCTTAGGGTTCTTGTCTGTTGGTTTTTACGGTCTCTCGTTGTATGTATTAGCTCTTCTCTGGGTGTTATCGCGTCTAGTTTAGTCACGTGGTTCTAGTGCTTAGTTTTTAAGGTCTCTGTTTTAGTCTTATTCCGTGGTACAGTATGCCTGGTCTTAGTGGTCTTAGAGGTATCTTAGGTCATGGTTTAAGTAACTGGTTTAGTCTGGTAGGTCTGGTAAGTTTCTGGTTTTCGTCTGGTTTAGTCCTGTTAAGTCCTGGTTAGTCTGGTTTATGTCTCCTTGGGTTATAGAGTCCCTGGTGTAGTCTTTTGTCTCTTGTAGTACTTCGTTTTATGTCAGTAGCTTTGAGTGCTTGGTTTTAGTCTTTACGTTTGGTCTGTTTTACTCTTGGAGTTTTTTAGTCTCTGGTTCAGGTCTTGGTATATCGTGCTTTGCTTTAGTCTTTAGTTTAGGTCCTTGTTTATTCTTAAGTTTCCCGTGCTGGGTTAGTCCTGGTTATAGGTTTTATGTTTTAGTCTTGGTGTTATTCTTAGTTTAAGTCGTTGGCTCTTAGTGCTGTTATTTTAGTGCTGGTTAACTCGTGGTTTTAAAGTGTGAGTTCTCTGGTTATTATAAGTCTGGGTTCTTGAGGTTCTTTGGTTTAAAGTCTAGTCTAGTGTCCTGTTTAGTACGGTTTGCTGGTCTTAGTTTAGTCTCCTGGTTATAGTCTTAGTTAGTCCTGGTTTCTAGTTCTTAGTTTAGTCCTGGTTTAGTCTTAGTTTAGTCTTGGTCTTTAGTCCTGTAGTCTTAGTTTAGTCTGGTTAGTCTTAGTTTAGTCCTGGTTATAGTTTAGTCTTTTTAGTTAGTTAGTCTTAGTCCTGTTAGTTTTTTAGTTAGGTCCTTGGTTTAGTCTTAGTTTAGTCCTGGTTTAGTCTTGGTTTAGTCCTTAGTCTTGGTTTAGTCTGGTTTAGTTTTAGGGTGTTTTCACATCGTTAGTTCGATTATTCGGTTGCACCAGGCAATAAAATCATTATTCTGTAGCAGATAGACTCCAGTGTGTTTCTTTCACACCGGTAAACAAAACAAAACTGGTCCAACTGACTCTGTGTCTCTGTTTCCCGGTAGAACAGCGACACCTCCAATTATCAACACCGATGTTCCTGTTCAGACCACGAGTCGTCCTCATCTCAAGTGTCGCCATGAACTCATAAAACACCAACATGTAGAACTTTGTACAATCTAGGGCTGGCACGGTTCATGAAAGAAAAACTGAACCGTTCACTTCTCTTGTCACGGTTCTGGACGTGTGTGCACCGCACGGTTTCCACGGTTTCCACGGTTCCCGGCTTGAGCATTGTCGTCTTGTATGTGACCTGTTTCGCTTTGGTGCAAAAGAAGAGGTGTGGAGGGTAGGTGCTGCGCGTCACGTTTAGAAAAGGCAGGGAGGAGAGAAGAGGGTCGCCCGGAGATGGAGGATGTGCCTGTGTCGTTACCTCGTGAAACCACAGCCGCGCGTCAAAGCAACGGCGACTCCACCGACAGCTGCAGCAGGACGTACACGCGCAGCACTGACTCTGTGTTTGTCAGTGGGAAAGACGATCAAACCTGACTGGACGTGTTTAGTCAGGTCGTAAGGGTCTAGCATGTGTATTTCGCCCTACACGAGCATAAAAACTGAAACTTTTGGACGCGTAACTTTTAGAACGCATGGAAAGTGACTGAGGGCGGCTCCACTGTACGCACTGTACGCACTGTACGCACTGGACGCACTAGACGCACGTATGGAGCAGGTCGTCGTGCACGCGTAGATTTCAGAACACTGGATCCCTCCTATTTTTTGACACTCAACGTGAGCGTAGGCGCGTATCTCCGTCAAAATACACAGAGAGCATGAATCTTTGGTTGTATTTGTGCGTTTACCGTCGGTACATCGTGCTCCTGGGGCAGTTCTGTGCCGTGTGAAAGAGCCCAGCTCCACAGATACTGTTAATAAGCTTTAAAATGTACTTTTGAAATCCTGGCGTTTGCCGTGGCGAGTGTCAGTTTTCCCAGACGCGACACGCAAGTAACTCTTAAGCAAAAAACTTCAGGAGATGGAAAAATCTACGATGTCTTTATTTTAGCGCAGGCAGCTTACAGAACAAAATTCAAATGATTAGAGGATTTCGGTCACACAGCAGAGAACAGCTCTTATACATGACATCTTGTTGAAATATTAACTTATTGATTAGCTCACTTTAGCAAGAAAGTCCACATACATATTTGATAAAACTTGTTTTTGCAGGATATTTTGCAGACATATTGATCAGGCTACCAGGTTCACATACGCCCCGCTTTGGACCTTGATTTGGAGCAGCAACCAAAAGAAAACATAACCAGAAACATTTTGATATGATTCAATTAACAGTAAAGCATCAAAGAAAGAAAATAAACCCACATGAGTCTGTTCAGAAGGTAAATACAAGTATGTTCTGTTCGTTTCACTGTGGACCTGATACAAACACGTCCAGTCAAGTTTGATCGTCTTTCCCATTGACAAACACAGAGTCAGTGCTGCGCGTGTACGTCCTGCTGCAGCTGTCGGTGGAGTCGTCTTTGCGGTGACGCGCGGCTGTGGTTTCGCGAGGTTACACGCGTAAACGCTGACTCGTGCAGTGGAGCCAGACCCTTAAAGGTTGTATAGAGGATTTTCCAAGGAACGAGAAATCCAGCGACTGTTTGTCCTTTTTCAAATGTTGCGCATGTGTGAAACCACCTCCCCTCCCCTACAGCTCCTACGTAGAAACGCCTCCTTCCGCCTCCTCCTTACGCCACAAACAGGTTTGTTTACAGCCGGTGCTGCACATGACTTGTAAACAACTAACTACAGTGTTGGTTAGACAAGACGGAGAAGTGAGGAGCGGGAGGAAAAGCAGAAGGGGCAGCGGGGAGAGGAGCAGGAAAGGGGTGCAGAGAAGGTTGCGCGGAGATTCAGTGCGAATGAACGAGCTACAACACGCAGCAGCAAGCGGACTCTTTCTTTGCATTGAAAATTAAGTTTTCAGACATAGGATATCGCATTTGTGTCCTGAAAAACGTTTGTCTAACTCTTGGAAATAAAGTACGTTTTCATAATAAGCAGAAGTTTCCTGTCCAGGAGTAATTTGTGGACCAGTGCGTCAGTCTTTAGACCCTTCGTCTGCTTCAGTCGCGCCATCGCTGGAATGAATCTTCAAGAATCACCTTAGTTTGGCTTCGCTGCTTTTCCCCTTGTCTTCTTCTTTCAGCGACCTCAAAAACGGACTTTCTTTTGCGGCGAACTGCTCCTGGATTCTTGTCGCCATCACAACAAACTTTGTGCGAAACTGCGAGGAAGATATAGGTCAAAAAAAGCCGCTAAAAAACTGTTGCGTTGGTGGAGTAAACAGCGTCTGTGCGTCTGTGGACTGTGTGACAGTCGTACGTAAACCACGTACCGGCGGCGCAGGCAAGTCAGTTACACTAGAAACGTAGGGAGTTTGATTGACAGCCTGTCAGCTCACAGATAACGAGGCAGTGTCGTTATCTATTGGCAAATGTTTAGCCCCACCACGTCCAGAGTTGATGAATTTTTATTCTCTTTTTTTTGGTCATCATAATTACAAGGCGACTGCATCTATAATCTATCACTGACAATTTGAAACAAAAAAAATCCTCCATACAACCTTTAACCTTACATCCAAGAGCACAATCTCACTAAACCAAGTGTCCTGACTCCTGAGGAGGGTCAGGAAGGTGGTCACATTTTTTCACCAAAGCACAACAGCTGCCTGTGTCCAATAATAACGTGTTTAAAGTCAAGTCCTATTAGTTTGTGCACGATTACATTACTAACTATAATTTTATAACTTTTTTAATCCTAAATTGTGGATAATGAAGCTAACATAGCAGATGATGAAGTATATTTCTGGATATTAAAGATTAAAAAGAAACACTGACAACAAGAACCGTACCGAACCGAAAACCGCGACCTTAAACCGTGAATTTTGTGAACCGTGTGAAACAGCGATAAAGACACAGACGCTCACCGCAGCTCAGACTCTCAGGACGGGGCTGGGGTCTGGTCCTTGGTCTTTAGTCGTCCTCCAGGCGCGTTGGTCAGATGGTCCTGAGGCTTCATCCTCCATGTGCAGGTTCCAGACGGGGCGAGTAAGACCAGAGCGCAGTGGACTGGGTCTGAGTGGTTCTGTGCCGTCGTCTGTGCGCTGGATTCATGCGGGAAGGTGAGAATGTGCTGTGGTCCTCTGTGCTCGAGGACTGCGGCTGGTTCTGGTTCTGAGGTGGTGCAGCGTCCGGACAGAAGCGTGAGTCCAGTTTGGTTGGTTTTATGTTGTTCCGAGCGTCCGTCCTCCGCGCTCTTGGTTCTTCCCGGGGAAAGTTCTTCTCAGGCCGAGGCTCCACACATCACTCCCCGCTCCACGTCACCTGAGCCCGACCTGAACCGGAGCTGCTTTCTCAAACTAGGCTAAAAGCAGGACATTTTTAAAGTTGAATCAATTGAATAGGTGATTGTCTATTGCCATAAAATTATCTGGTTCATCTAAAGCCTAAAATAACAAAAGGTGTTGCTGCATGAACATGGGAAACACTGGGTCGTCTCTGTGCAGGTCCTGAACAGACGTACACACTCCAAATCTTGACTCACTCTGGAGCCACATGTTCACACGTTGGTTTTTGCTCTGATCTTCGTGTGTTACTTTCTCTGTTTTGGCCATTGTTGGCAAAATAATTCGGAAATGAATCGCGGCTGCGTCTGGACAACAATCTGTTATCACCTGGAGTCGTGCAGCGCGTCGTTTCAGGCAGAAGAGACCCGTATCGTCTCCCATGATGCATCTGGAATAGTTCGTTTGGACCTGAGTTCACGTTCACACCAGAGGAACCACACCAGAGTTTGGTATTTGGTGCAGATTCAAGTGAACCGAGATCACTTCTTTCTTGAGGTCTTGGTCCGTTTGATTTGGTTCGGGTCCGAGTCTGATTGAAGCTTTCACACCAACGAAAACGAACCGAACTAAGAACTTTTGGTTCGAATTGACCGTTTGGTGTAAACAACTACTGTCAGTGTGAAAGAACCCTTATAGTCTTGGTTCAGTCCTGGTTCGTCCTGGTTTAGTCCCAGGTTTAGACCTGGTTTAGTCCTGGTTTAGTCCTGATTTAGTCCTGGTTTAGTCCTGGTTTAGTCCTGGTTTAGTCCTGGTTTAGTCCTGGTTTAGTCCTGATTTAGTCCTGGTTTAATCCTGGTTTAGTCCTGGTTAGTCCTGGTTTAGTCCTGGTTTAGTCCTGGTTTAGTCCTGGTTTAGTCCTGATTTTAGTCCTGGTTTAGTCTGATTTAGTCTGGTTTAGTCCTGTTTAGTCCTGGTTTAGTCCTGTTTATTTAGTCCTGGTTTAGTCCTGGTTTAGTCCTGGTTTAGTCTAGTTTAGTCCTGGTTAGTCTTTAGTTTAGTCCTGGTTTAGTTTAGTCTGGTTTAGTCCTGGTTTAGACCTTTTAGTCCTGGTTTAGTCTGGTTTAGTCCTGATTTAGTCTGTTTAGTCCTGATTTAGTCCTGGTTTAGTCCTGGTTTAGTCCTGGTTTAGTCCCTGGTTTAGTCCTGGTTTAGTCCTGTCCTGATTTAGTCCTGGTTTAGTCCTGGTTGCCTGGTTAGTCCTGGTTTAGTCCTGTTTAGTCCTGGTTTAGTCCTGGTTTAGTCCTGGTTTAGTCCTGATTTAGTTTTTAGCCTGGTTTAGTCCTGGTTTATTTAGTCCTGGTTTAGTCCTGGTTTAGTCCTGGTTTAGTCCTCCTGGTTTAGTCCTGGTTTAGTCCTGGTTTAGTCCTGGTTAGTTTAGTCCTGATTTAGTCCTGGTTTAGTCTCTGGTTTAGTCCTGGTTTAGTCTTTTGGTTTAGTCTGGTTTAGTCCTGGTTTAGTCCTGGTTTAGTCCTGGTTTAGTCCTGTTAGTCCTGGTTTAGTCCTGGTTTAGTCCTGGTTTAGTCCTGGTTTTAGTCCTGGTTTAGTCCTTTTTAGTTTTAGTCCTGATTTTAGTCCTGGTTTAGTCCTGTTTAGTCCCTGGTTTAGTCCTGGTTTAGTCCTGGTTTAGTCCTGGTTTAGTCCTGGTTTAGTCCTGGTCCTTTTAGTCCTGGTTTAGTCTGGTTTAGTCTTAGTCCTGACCTGGTTTAGTCCTGGTTTAGTCTTTAGTCCTCCTGGTTTAGTCCTGGTTTTAGTCCTGGTTTAGTCCTGGTTTAGTCCTGGTTTAGTTTAGTCCTGGTTTAGTCCTGGTTTAGTCCTGGTTTAGTCCTGGTTTAGTCCTGGTTTAGTCCTGGTTTAGTCCTGGTTTAGTCCTTAGTCCTGATTTAGTCCTGGTTTAGTCTGGTTTAGTCCTGGTTTAGTCCTGGTTTAGTCCTGGTTTAGTCCTTTTAGGTTTAGTCCTGGTTTAGTAGTCCTGGTTTTAGTCCTGGTTTAGTCCTGGTTTAGTCTTTTAGTCCTGGTTTAGTCCTTAGTCCTGGTTTAGTCTAGTCCTGGTTTAGTCTTGTTTAGTCTTTTAGTCCTGGTTTAGCCTGGTTTAGTCCTGGTTTAGTCCTGGTTGGTTAGTCCTGGTTTAGTCCTGGTTTAGTCCTGGTTTAGTCTTAGTCCTGGTTTAGTCCTGGTTAGTCCTGGTTTAGTCCCTTTTAGTTTAGTCTGGTTTAGTCCTGGTTTAGAGTCCTGGTTTAGAGTCTGTTTAGTTTAGTCCTGGTTTAGTCCTGGTTTAGTCCTGGTTTAGTCCTGGTTTTAGTCCCTGGTTTAGTCCTGGTTTAGAGTCCTGGTTTAGTCCTGGTTTAGTCCTTTAGTCCTTTTAGTTTAGTCCTGTTTAGTCCTGGTTTAGTCTCTGGTTTAGACCTGGTTTAGTCTTGTTTAGTCCTGGTTTAGTCCTTGTTTAGTCCTTAGTTTAGTCCTGGTTTAGTCCTGGTTTAGTCCTGGTTTAATCCTCTGGTTTAGTCTTAGTTTTGACCTGGTTTAGTCCTGGTTTAGTCCTGGTTTAGTTCTCAGTCTCTCCTCTGATTTTAAACGCTGCTAATTCCAATTTCACGCTGGAACTTTACTGAATTACAAACACAAAAATCTGCCAAAAAATTCCCCCAAACTCCAGAATTCTGTCCCGACATTCCCTCCCCTCCTGGACTCGGATCAGGGACTCGGATCAGGGACTCGGATCAGGGACTCGGATCAGGGACTCGGATCAGGGACTCGGATCAGGGACTCGGATCAGGGACTCGGATCAGGGACTCGGATCAGGGACAGTCTCCGAGGATTTTAAGGACCTTTTTTCATGTTTTTTTTTTTTTCCCTCCGCTCCGTCGTTTGGTCTGAGTGAGTCCAGGGCAGAAACTCCGGCTCACGTGACCGAGTCTGAACAGAACTCCCCTCACACCACACGCCGCACAAATACTACTACTACTACTACTACTACTACTACTACTACTACTACTACTACAGAATACAGTCTACATTTAAGGTAAGGACTTTTTATATTTGTATCATCTTTCTCTGCATGTTTCTGAGTTTTAAAACACTTAGTACAAAAAGAAATTTAAATACAAAAACGTCAAAAACTACGTTGGTCGAAGAAGTCGCAAATTTAGCAAATATTTTTCTCAAAAGTAGAATTATTGTACTTGTAGTAGTAATAGTAGTAGTAGTAGTAGTAGTAAGTAGTAGTAGTAGTGATTGTAGAAGAAGTAGTAGTAGTTAAAATGTAAATAACAAAAGTAAAATTTGAAGTTGTAGTAGTAGTAGTAGTACATGATTTTAACTTCAACAAACAACAAAAGTAGTAGTAGCTGTTGTAGTAAAAGTAGCAGTAATAGTAGTAGTACTTTTTAGCAGCAGTAGTTGTAGCAAGACTTAGTACTAGTAATGTAATGTAGTAATAAATACTTAGTACTTTGTAATAGTACTTGTATTATTAAATCAATTTCTAACTTTGACAAATTACGAAAGTAGAATTAATGTACTTGTAGTAGTACTAGTAGTAGTAGTAGTAGTAGTAGTAGTAATGGCAGTTAAATTGGTAAATATACTTTAACTTTGACAAATAAAAATAAAATTCGTAGTTGTAGTAGTAGTAGAAGTACATGTATTTTAACTCTGACAAACAACAAAAGTAGTAGTAGTTGTAGTAAAAGTAGTAGTAGTAGTAACAGTGGTAGTAGTAGTAGTAGTTTTTAGCAGTAGTAGTTGTGACAAGTCTTTGTATTAGTAATGCAATTTAGTAATAAATACTTAGTACTTTGTAATAGTACTTGTATTATTAAATCAATTTCTAACTTTGAAAAATTACAAAAGTAGAATTAATGTACTTGTAGTAATAATAGTAGTTGCAGTAGTAATAGTAGTAGTAGTGATTGTAGAAGTAGTAATCGCAGTTAAATTGGTAATATACTTTAACGTTGACAAATGACAAAAGTAAAATTTGTGGTAGTTGTTGTAGTAGAAGTAAATGTATTTTAACTTTGACAAATCAAGTGAAATTTGCAGTAGTAGTTGTAGTAGTAGTAGTAGTAGTAGTAGTAGTAGCAGTTGTAGCAGTAGCAGTCGTGACAGTACTTTTCAAAGTACTTGTTTTGATAAATCTCTTTCTAACTTTAACAAATTATGAAAGTAGAATTAATGTATTTGTAGTAGTAATATTGTAGTAGTAGTAGTAGTAGTAGTAGTAGTAGTAGTAGTAGTAGTAGTAGTAGTAGTAGTGATTGTAGAAGTAGTAGTGGTAGTTAAATGGGTAAATGTATTTTAACTTTGAGAAATTACAAAAGTAGAATTAATGTACATGTAGTAGTAATTGTAGTAGTAGTAGTAGTAGTAGTAGTAGTAGTAGTAGTAGTAGTAGTAGCAGTAGTCATACTTGTTTTGTTAAATCCATTTTGAACTTTAACAAATCACAAAACTTGAATTAATATACTTGTAGTAATAGTAGTAGTAGTAGTAGTAGTAGTAGTAGTAGTAGTAGTAGTAGTAGTATAGTAGTGATTGTAGAAATATTAGTAGTAGTTAAAATACAAATAACAAAATTTAAATTTGTTGTTGTAGTACTAGTAGTTGTAGTAGTATTAGAAGGAGATGTTAGTAGTTGTTGTGAATACTTTTTGAAGTACTTGTATTATTAAATCCATTTCTAACTTTGACAAATTATAAAAGTAGAATTACTGTACTTGTAGTAGTAATATTAATAGTAGTAGTAGTAGTAGTAGTAGTAGTAGTAGTAGTAGTAG